CTTGGGTTATGTTGGTACATGTACGCTTAGCTCATCCGGTGTACCTTGAGAACGAGATCGCACTACTCCTATCAGGCTAGGTCGGTGCATCGGGAGGTCTTGCTGGACTAGTTTTACCATTGTCAAAATATCTTGTGCACCGGGATTCCGTCTGATCGGAGGGTCCCGCGATGGAGGATTGTCTCCGCGGATCGTGAGCTTGTCATGGGCTAAGTTGGGACACCCCTGCAGGGTTTAAACTTTCGAGAGTCGTGCCCACGGTTATGTGGTAGATGGGAATTTGTTAATATCCGGTTGTAGAGAACTTGACACTTGACTTATTTAAAAGACACCAACCGCGTGTGTAACCGTGATGGTCTCTTTTCGACGAGGTTCGGGAAGAGAACACGGTGGGGTTATGTTTGAACCTAAGTAGTTCAGGATCACTTCTTGATCACTTCTAGTTTACGACCGTTGCGTAGTTTCTCATCCTACTCTTGTACTCGTATATCAGCCACCATATTTGATTAGCGCTTGCAACAGCTCCACCTCATAACCACATCCTACCCATAAGCTTAAATAGTCTTGATCTCGTGGGTTTTGAGATTGCTGAGTCCTCGTGACTCACAGATACTACCAAAACAGTTGCAGGTGCCGAGGATGTGCAAGCCTGCTCGTTGCGGAGGCAGGTGACATTCACCGTGGCAGGCACCTTCTTCTTGAGCCGCTCGGACTCCTTGACGCGGAGCCGAAGCGCCTTGGCATTTTTGCGATGGCGGCAATGGGCGTCCGTCTCCGCTAAGGTTAATGACCGATGAATGAAGTCCTGGAGGAGGTCGTCCTCCGACTCGGCAGGCATGGACCTACAGGACCCAATACCGTAGCGGTAGAACCTGCCTCTACCGCCCTGTGTGCGACCCACTACCTTGCGTGGTGTGCAGCCTGCGCCTCTGATTAGGGTGTCTGTCTCCGCGGGCTTGGCGATGCGAGAATGAGCACCCAACGCCAACCGGGAGAAGGGGTGACAGAGGAGGCGACGGGCACAAACCGATGGAGGGCAAATTTTTGGTCGTCCTGGCGTCGCTCGATTCCTCTACCAACAAGACGTCCCAGTCGACGGGGTCCACCTTCCTGTCAGAGCTAGGGTAGTGGATGGGAGTGGAGTGAGAAAGGGAGCGGAGCGAACGAGAGTGAGCTAGGGTTTGGGTCCTGGTAGGGGTGGGCACGAGGTGGGCCAACATAGGCCAGTCTAATGTGGCGTCGCGTCCACTCCACCACGTATCCGCCCCGCCTATGGGCTGGGTTTGAGGGATGTCGGACAACT